TTCAAACAAAAAAAAAATATATATATATAGAATGAAGATCCACAGAGAATTTTTGGAGATGAAATGAGCTATTTTTGACCCTTGTTTAGTCCATATCTCCGTCAAACGTCAGGATATCGAGCTGAAATTTTTACCACAGCCTCCTCACGTCAGTATCAACAAACCCTAAAAATTTCACCTTTGTAGCGTGTACCTGAGCTGAGATCGGTTTTTGAGGGGGGGGCCTTAAATGGTGAAAACCACAGGTCTCTATAATGTTCCTATGAAAAGTTATTGAAAAAACAGTGTAACATATTATATTTTAAAATCGATATTAATTCAGTTATTTTTCTCTAATTTCTTCATATTCACATACGTCTACTAGTATTCGATAAATAAACTTCTTCATTTTTCTATCACACAGATCATTTTCTTGTTAATATTATAGATACTCGGAGATATGAAATTAATTTGATAAAAGATAAACATTCTTTTTTTTTTGGATGATGAAAAAAGACCGACAACCAGAAAATACAACAAAAACTTTATGAATACAATAAGTGTGTAATTGAATTTTTTACTTATAAATTTGTGCTTTTTTTAAATTAAGATATAGATAAAGTTCTTGCTTAGAAAAAAAAACTTTTTCTCAATTCGAACTGAAATATAAACCTTAGAAAAATTCTTTTTTCTACTTAGCATTTAATACAAAAGAAAATACTTGGTATTTAAATGAAAACGTTTAATATTAAAGAAAACTAGTATTACTTGATGATACATAGCACTACATGTTAAAGCAGCAAGACTACTTGCAGCAACTAGAAGCCAAGCATACGATGTAGATATTGTGGGACATATATCGAAAAATCCCATAAGAAATGTTAATAATATTGGTTGAGCAAATTTAGCTAATTCCTGAAGCAAACCACGAGAAAAAATAGTCTTATTTTTCTAGTCTAATTATTTAAATTACCGTTGGAATAAGTAATAAACCGGCAATCAGCGGTCCCCATCCCATGGTTTTTAATGTTGCACGAATAATACTTGGTTCACGTTGTGTTTGTTTCATTTCATCGAACCAATTTTTTTCAAGATCATCGGTTAATTTCGTTGCTTCAAGTTGAGGAAAAAGATCATAGAGATCAGTTAAATGCAGTGTGCCTTGTTTATGACTTTTTTTAAGTAATATTAATATCCAACTATGAAAAAATTGTGACCATTTATTAGCTCGATAATATGGATTTGGGTTGATCAATGGATCTGATGTCATCTGAAAACGGACGTTTGCTTCTTTTTTTTTTTAATTTTTATTAATTCCTTTTTAATTCAAAATATCATATCTTTTGTTCAAGATAGATAAAAAGAAAAACAACTAAAAAATATAAATCATTTTTTTGAACACAATATCAGATTCAATGTATTAGTCATTATCATTTCTTATCAACAATGATTGTAAACTAGATGAACGATTGACACGTTGTTTCATTTTTGTCAATGAGAATGGTAATTGATGAGATTTTGATGTTAAGGTTGTTGATATCGTCTCATTATACAATCGAATACCAACTAATAAACAACATAAAATAATAGGACCAATCAAAGCACCTTCAATACCTCGATAATATACTCCACCGGCAATAGCTAATGCTGTTAAATACTATAAAAAGAAGAAAAAAATTGTAATAAAAATTTGATAAACATCAAATCAGAGAAGAAATTTTCGATTGTCATTGTCATTCTTGAATAAAAGACAAGTCAATATAATCGAAGAATTACTCTTTGCATTTTTACCGTTGTAATATCATTTCAGAAATTGTAGAGTGAAAAATCTTGATCTCTTGAGAACGAGATTACTAATGGAAGAAATAAAAGTTTTCGGAAACTCTAAAACAATGCATACACACACATATCTACATACAAACGCTGGATAGAGCCAGAATGTACTTGAACAGAAAGAACTCGAATGAAGATAACAAAGACTCTACCATAGAAATCGATACTAGATGTCATCATTCATCAAAGATCCAAGAATACAGTATAGAAGCAATCGGTCTAGCTACAGAAAGAAAGAAAATGAATGAGAGCATAATACAAATGAAATTTTCAGAATATATTTGAAACAATGGATTCATGATTTGTAGAGTGTTCTATATCGTCGGAATGTCAATGAGATACTGAGGTTAGCTACGAGTTGAATTAGGACAAAAGTACATATATGTGCATCCCACCTACAACGAGTTAAAGTTGTACACTTCGATAATCACTCATTCTATAACATATTTACAAGGTTATCATCGATAAAGAGTGCGTACAGAAAATATAAGTAATTAAATGTTAAAATTCGACATCAGACTAATTTTTTAATTAGAATTTTTGTTTAGTATGAGAATGTTCATTTCTGATATTAGAATTTACAAAACTATCTCGATCGCATCTTACAATTTTAAGTATGAGTGTAAAGCAATCTTTTCTTTTTATTCAGATAGAAAGTTAGACTTACGAGGGAACATTCCCAGGTATTGGAGCGATTTTGAGTCGAGACTTTGCGCCTCTTGTAGGCCTTGATGGAGGATGTCTGCCGTAAAAAAAGTTCGTGACCCGAGCTGGCTCCGCGTGCTGTCACGGG